TGGCCCTGTTCCCCCAACAGCAGGACTGAGGGCTCAGGAGGGTGCTGGGGTGAGCAGAGGGAGCTGCTGCAGGTCGTTAAGGGCTCCTTTGATGAGGCTGCTCTAGGAACACCTGGGGCAGCTGAGTTCTTTAAAGAACTTTCTCAAGCCAGTGATCAAGTGCTGCTGTGACCTCACGGGGACTCTGCTCATCCCAGTGTGACAGAACCAAGCAGGGACAGGGCCTGGTCTGCTCTGCAGTGTCACAGCCTCTGCTGCCTTCTCTCCCAGGAGCAGGAGGACAGGCCTGGTGGCTCCTCTTACACCCAGGTACAAGCCCCAACTTAACCCAGGCTGCTCACCCTGAGGCCATTTGTGCCACACAAACATCCCCCAGACAGTGAGTGCTGCCCCAGGGCACTGCAGTGCTCAGGATTGTTCAGCTTTGCACCATCTAGATTTATTCTTTTTGCAGCAGCAGCAGCAGCCAGGCCCTGCCATGGTAACGGGCTTTCCTGGAAGATCTGATTGCTGCATCTTCCCAGCAGTGAGGAAGCAGCAGGTCTCAGGCAGCCTGACCCCTTCCCCAGAGCCCCTGGGACCGAGAATGTGGAGAGGGATTCAGCACAAGCAATACAAGAAAAGCCAGTGTGCATTGCCAGGTCACCGCTGCATGTCAGCAAGACACTGCTGTCACCCGGGGTGTCCCCAAGGACTCCCCAAACCTGGAGCTCAGGTCAGGCTCAGGGGCTCTTTAATCCCACATTTTTGGGGATAAAACCAAGCTGAGAGCAGCTGGCTGCAAACCCAGCACCAGCCTGGTGACCACCCCCTGCCAGCCTGGGGGCCAGGCTCAGGCCAGGAGAGCCACACGGGGCTAGTGGGGTCTGGAGCCAAGGAGCCCCCAGCCAAACCTCTCCCCGGCCCTCTCTCCATGTTTGTCCCCCTCCACTCGCATTTCAACAGCAACAAATTGCTGGTAATGAGCCGTGTCTCTCTGTGAGCTGAGAGCCTTGGAGATCAAAGATGCTCTTACACAAAACCAAAATATCATCAGTGGCCTTTAAAGGCCAGACTAAGCTTCTGAGGAGAAAAAAATTCAATTTTCTGTAGATCTAATTTGAAACCATTTTAATGCTCATTAAGATAGAGGGACCCAAGCAGATTGTGTGGGCTGGAAGACAGGGAGAGAAAAAAATGAGTTATTATTGACATTTCAGTTTAGGTCTTTATTCTATCCAGAGCTCCCTATTTCTCAGCAGCAGCTTTGAGTAATACTATTGTTAGCACTGGAACTGTAATTCCAATGTCCTTTTTATAACTGACTTGGAAAAAAAAATCTTGAAGGCTTTCACTAAATTCAAAGTAATGGAATTTATAGTGGTAAAGAGGGACTTGAAAAGGGAGAAACATGCAAACCCCTGTGCTGTTGCTCCTGTCATGGGGTGACCACGGTGCTCAGCCACCTGGGCAGCCTCTCTGCAGCACCTTCCTGCGGTGCTTGGTGAAGGAAGGGCCCCCAGGAGATGCCTGGATGAGGATATGAGGCTGTGTCCCAGCTTGGTCACCCACTGGAGCCACATCTCGGAGTCTCTTATCCATCTGCAGGGTCACAGCCCTGGGGACAACCCTTCCTGAGGGTGATGTGTCCCTCAGCAGCAGCCAGCTCGGCTCCTGCAGCGCAGGGCTGGCATGGGGAATGGATACAGCCCCATGGGGTCTTCATTTGCCACTGTCTGTATGGAAATAGAAGATCTGTATTTGCCCCGTGGGTGAGGGTGGTCCTGGGGGCAGGTGGGCACTGTCAAAGCCTAAACCAAAGGAGCTTGGTGTTTTGGTTTGCTGTGGTGCTTTTCTCCCTAAAAGTACTGCTGATAGTTCTGGTTGGTGCAGGCAAAGGTTCTGTTGCAATCTCCTCCCATCCAACTAATTTGAATTTTGCTTTACAGTAGCAAGAAATTATTTGGAGTGTGTTAAGCAGATTTATTTTCCTTCCCCTCCTAGTATTTTGTTGTACTTCTGTAAGGTGTAAGAAAGATTGTAAGAAAGATCTGGGAGCAGATTGTCTTTTAGTAATAGTCACTTCTCTTGGCATTGTGGCAGCTGCTGGATTTCTGGCTATCAATTATCTTTATTAAAGATATGTGAGGCAGGGATCCATGTTTTATATACAGCCATCTGAAGGGAAGGTGGAGCCACGCAGGGGTCGGGCTCTTCTCCCAGGTAACAAGGATGACAGCAAATAGCCTCAAGTCACGACAGGAGAGGTTTAGATTGGATATTAGGGAAAATTCCCTCACCGAAAGGATTGTCCAGCCCTGCCCAGGACAGCGGTGCAGTCACCGTCCCTGGAGGGTTTTAAAAGCCCTGTGGGGCCATGGGGACCTGGCACTCAGTGGTGGCCTTGGCAGCGCTGGGACTCGGTGATCCAGGCGGATTTCCCCAGCACGAACCGGGCGCTGCTCCCTGCGATCCCTGTCCGCGTCTGCAGAGGGCACCAGCCCCCCAAATGTCCCTGTCACCCCCGGGCCGGGCGGCGACACCGCCGGGACAGCCGGCATGCTCTGGGCAATGCTCCGGGTGACACCGCCCCAGCCATCCCGGGATGCTCCCGGGGAATGCTCCGGGTGACACCGCCCCAGCCATCCCGGGATGCTCCCGGGGAATGCTCCGGGTGACACCGCCCCAGCCATCCCGGGATGCTCCCGGGGAATGCTCCGGGTGACACTGCCGGGACACGGGGGATGCTCCCGGGGAACGCTCCAGGTGACACCAACCCATTCACCTTGGGACGCTGCTTCAGGAGAGCCCTGGATAACAGTGACCCATGCACCCAGGACAGCCCCTCAGGAGAGCCCTGGATAACAGCGACCCAGCCTCAGCAGCCCCATTCCAGAGTGGATCCCAGCACTGTTCCACCATTGCAGTCCAGCACAGAGCACCAGGTGATGTTAGCTGTGTCTCCTCCCAGCACTGTCCAACCCTTGGATGGGGATGGGGACACTGTAACCCCTGCCATGGCCTCAGGTTACAGCCCCATGGCTGGCTCCGTCCCCAGCACCTCAATGAACCCAAAAATCTACCTCCAACAGTGGCATACACAGCAAAATTATTGGAAAAATTGTTGTGGGAATATGTTGTTGTCCTTGTTTCCCCTGTGCAATGGGCCCTGTGGGTGGGAATCACTTCTGCTTTAGGAAAAAACCAAAACCCTGACATGTGTTTTCTGGCCCAGTCTGACCTCAAAAAAAGCAGCCGTGAGAAGATGTGTGTTTTGGCAGAGGATAGCATGAATGCCTCCAAGCACACAGTGGCTCCTGGCATGTGGGGACAGGACTGATCCCAGCTCAGAGAGAAGCCCAGAAGTGGCTTTGGGAGAGCTCCTGGCTAGCCCCTGGAGCCTCACTAGCCCACCCTGGAGAGGATGGTGCTTGCTTGCAGGGGAAGCCCAGGATGAGAGCCAGAGACACAAATGTCTGGATGTCCACAGTGCTGTGTCCAGCCACAGACATTCCCATGTTGGGAATGTGAACTCACATGATTCCCAAATTTGACAGCCTGTAGAGCACAGTGTGATGAAAGCTGAAGTACTTCAGCCACTGGTACAGCCAGGGAAGCAAAGAGGAGTCTCCCCACTCCAGATTTAGCTCTTTATTGATTTTCCAGCTGCATCCATCAGTCACTGTCCCAGTGCTCAAATTACCCATTAGAGATACCATAGAAATGAGAGGAAAACAAGACAGGCTTGTGGTTTTGATGAAAAACGCTAAACATCCCAAACAACAACTTCTGGAAGGAAAATCCTTCCTTTTTAGGATGGGGACTGGGTTACATTTATTCTTGAACAGCTCAGAGGCACTGAGGGCTCCTGGCTGCTTGTGGTCTGGAGCTTGACCATCTCCCATGGCCCTTATTCCCTGTGCCACTGGCAGCACCATGTCCTGCAGGAGGGACTCAGGGGCCTCCCTCCAGCCCAGCTCACCTGTGTCAGTTTCAAGAATAAACACAAATCCAGTTTCAAAATCCACATGACTGCACTGGGTGTCCTCTGTCCACACTGCTGCTTCCTCTCACCTACAGTGACTCCCTGCTGGTGACTGCAGCTGGGTCACATCCTGCAGGTCAGTCCCAGAGGCCTGACCTGTCTGAGATGTCCCTGGGATTACAGGGATGTCCCCTGTGCTTGTATCCATCACCCCACAGCTGCATTGCAGAGGGACCCAAGGGTCAGGGACTGGAGGTGCTGTTAACATCCCATCTACATGGAAATGCCCTTCCTGGGGGTTTTACTACATGAATTTGATAAGGTGTGGGTGAATGGCTTCAAACTGAAAGAGAGGTTTAGATTAGATATTAGGAAGAAATCCTTCCCTGTGAGGGTGAGCATGCCCCGGCACGGGGTGCCAGAGAAGCTGTGACTGCTCCCAGATCCCTGGAAGTGTCCAAGGCCAGACTGAACAGGGCTTGGAGCAGCCTGGGATAGTGGGAAGTGTCCCTGCCCAGGGCAGGGAGTGGAGATGGATGGGCCTTTGGTCCCTTCTAACCCAAACCCTTCTGTGATTCTATCAATAAATCCATGGCCTCCACCTTGTGAAGAGACTCCAACCCAAGGAGCTGCATTGTGACCATGTGGTTCACCAAGGCAGCAGGGGGGAAGTCCCCAGGGTCCCCTGCTGCACCCAAAGGTGTCCCCAGAGGGGAGGGCTGTGCTGGCTGTTCCCGGGGCTGGGCTGGCTGTGCTGACTCAGCAGCACACACCCTGTGTAAACGCCCGCCAGCTGCTGCTCCGGCCACTGTTTGCTCAGCCCGCACTGCTCTGTTTGCCTTTGGGATCACGATGGAAGGAGATGGCCTTTGGTCCAGAAAATGAGGCAAGGCAGTTCCAGGCACCTGCCTCAAGGATCCTCCAGCATCTCCACTCCTCCAGCTCCTGCCCAGCAGCTGCAACCCACCAGCATCTCACCCAAATGAAAAGCTCCATGGAGCTCTAGGAGTTACAGGAAAATGCACTCACCACAGCATAACCCAGCTGCCACGCAGCCAGGAAAATTATTTATTATCATTTCCTTGCAACAGAGATATGGAAAAAAAAAGCACCCACCCTCCACAGGTGCAAACAGCAGCAGCTGCAGCATCCACGTTGGAATCTATGTACATCACAGTGTAAAGTCCATCGGGGAAAAAAAATTCAATCCAAGTTTTTTTTTTTTTAAAAAAAAACAACCTCATGACCTAAAACCAGGAACCAGAAAAAAACAAAGTGGTTGAGAAAATAGGTTGGGCCCCTCCCTCTTGCTATAAAATACGTATTTCTAAGGCGAAGTTTCACAAGACCAGAAGCGAGGTTCCTAGAGTCTGAGCTTGCAGCTGAAGACACCGCACAGGCACAAATCCCACGTGAGAAGCTACTGTAGGCACGAGAACCTCCACCCACCCTGGTGCCTCAGTGGTCAGCGTAGTCCTTGGTCTCCACCCCGGTCTCGTTGAGCACCGTCGTCCTCATGATGGCCTCGGTCACCGCGTAGGGGTCGCAGTTGGCCGCCGGCCGCCGGTCCTCGAAGTAGCCGTAGCCATCCTGGCCGACCTGGCGCGGGATGCGGATGCTGGCGCCTCGGTTGGCCACGCCGGCAGAGAACTCGAAGATGTTGGAAGTCTCGTGGTGGCCGGTGAGGCGCCGGGAGTTGTCCCTGCCGCCCCGCGGGTCGTACACGCAGATGTGGTAATCGTGCCGCTTGCTCAGCTTCTCGATGGCAGCTTCGATGTGCCTGCGGGAGAGCAGAGGGGGCTCAGCAGGTCCATTTGGGGGGTGCCACCCCCTCCTCCTGTGCAGGGACAAGGACGGCCCAGGGACTCCTCATGATCAGCTGCTCTTAAAATAATGAGATGGGACAACCCCAACCCTTCCTGGTGCAGCCACAAAGGTAGGGAGACACTTCCATATGGCCCAGGACACCCCCAAGCTCCCAGCTACATCCCAGGGAACCCCCGAGGACTCACTTGAGTCCTGAGATTCCCCTTGAGACCCCCCCAGGACTCACTTGAGACCCCCCTCTCTGCGCATCTCCTCGGTGCTGTAGTTGGTGTGACACCCGGCGCCGTTCCAGTTGCCGGTCATCGGTTTGGGGTCCAGAGTGGCCACAACCCCAAAGTCCTCGCAGACACGGTGCAGGATGAACCGAGCCATCCAGAGGTGATCCCCCATCTCAATGCCTTCACACGGGCCCACCTGGAATTCCCACTGGAAGGCCGAGTAGACGCACAGGTAAGGATGGGCAGGTGGGCGCCTCCCCAGCCACCACAGCCCTGCCACCCCCAGCCCAGGCTGTGGCTGAATGTTACCCTTGGGAATCAGCACCAAGGATGGGGAGCATTGAGGCAAGCAACAGGACAACTTTGGCAAGCAAAAAACTGGGAAGAAACTGCTCATCGCTATGTAGAGCAAATCAGAGGGGATTTTAATCAAAACAGAGGTAAATAAACATATCTGACTGAGGCTGGAGCTGCTGTGAGCAGGACCCCCAGCCCACACTGCAAACAGGGCAGAGGATTAATGAGGAGTCTGTTAGTCCTTCCCAGGGCTGCTCCCTGCCTGGCTGGAGCCAGGGTTGCACCACCCACGGTTACTAAGCACGGGGTGACGTCTTTGTGGCTGCTGGCATGGCAGAGCCTGAGCCCAGGATGTGGAAAGCAGCCAAGAAGGACCCTTAAGAATTTGGGGCAAACAGCAGGGTGGGTAAAAGTCCTGCCTCAGCTCCACTGCTGATAAGCCCCCACTTATCACTGCCACATCAGCAGCAGGACAGTCAGCAGCAGGACCCGCAGTCGGTCAGTCTGGCCACCTGCCTAATGCAATCAGGGGCTCCCTGCTGCTCACTCCTAGATAAACCCAAATCCTCCCAACTGCTCCCCAAGGCCATGTCCCACCCGAGCTTCCCAGTTCCAGAACAGGGCTCAGACCCCACCACTCCACATGGCGCTCCTGCTGTCCCCCACATCCCTGCCCCCATGGAGGAGCTCCCAGCTCTGCTCCGGCAGCCAGAGCTCAGGCTGAGCTGTGCAAAGAGCTTGGGGTGAGTTAGGAGAAAAATCAAATGCACATTTCCATTCCAGCAGTGCAACTGCTCCCACCTAAGCAAAACCGATGTGAGGAGTCCCTAGATTTGGAGCTCCAGAGGAGTTGGGAGTTCTGGGTTATTCCAGCCTCACAATATCCATCACTGGGAATGGGCTGCCTGGGGCAATCCCCACGTACCTGGGAGGGCATCACCTCAGCATTGGTGCCACAGATCTTCACCCCCGCATAGAGACAAGCCTTGTAGTGGGACTCCACGATATCACGACCATACACCTTATCTGCTCCAACCCCACAGTAATAGGGGCCTGGAAAGAACAAGGAGTCACCAACCAAGGAAAACTTCAGGGAGCTACAAGAGCACTGTAACATAATCCCACACTCCCCGGTACCTGATGCCACGGGCAGAGAATTTACAGGAATTAAAATGATGTTTCTCTCCACAGGACATCAAGCCACTGACCCCAGCTCCAGGACTAGCAGTGTGAGCAGTTCATCTGTGCAACCTCAGCCTTATCTGGGCAGTTCAATAATACTTGTAACACATCAGCTGGGAGGTGGCCTCGAGATAAGGAAAGTTTGGTCTGCCCTGGGCACCTCCCTCACCCTCTGAGCACATCAAGCTTCCGAGATTGTTCTGACAACAGCTGGCATTGTTCACAGCTAGAAAATCCAATTTGCTGGGGTTTGATATCTTCCTCACTCAAGCAGGTAAGGCAAAGATCTTCTCCTCGCCTGGGGGAAGGGAGATATTGCAAGCAGCCCGTCCACACAAAAATCAGGTTGGGAAACCTCTGGCACTCTCCCTGGAGATAGCTGAGGAGCTGCCTCGCTGCAGCAGGAGGGCACAACTCGCCATGCCAAGCCCTTTCTCCAACAGCCAAGGGGAGGAGGTTTTTCCAGCCCAGTTATCCAGCCCTTGCCAAACAAGTCGTGCAGCTGAGCTGTTTGTGCAAGCAGGGTCCGGCGGGAGCGGCTCACGTGAGCCACAGGGCACCAGGTGCTCTCAGCAAACAGCCCCTACCTGGGGCCATCCCTGACAGCAAAGCTGCACCGAGGCTGGGGATGGGCTCACTGCCACCTCTCAGCACCCCACAAGCAGCAGGGTGGGAGCTGAGGGGGGATTTGGGCTGGGGCAGGGAGGGAGCTCTTACCCTGCGGGCCGGGGAAGCCGTTGTCGGGCCAGCCGTAGGGGTGGCCATTGATGCCCAGCAGGGTGTACTCCTGCTCCATCCCGAACCAGGGGTGGCTGTCCTTCACCAGGTCCATGACTTTCTTGCATGTGTGTCTCAGGTTGGTCTCTGGAGGCAGAGAGGTCTGGGTTAGAGCCGTGCTGTGAGCCAGCACCCATCACACTCTGCTCCATCCCACCCTGAGACCAAGGCTCTGCCATTGCCAAGGGCTTCCCACAGAAGCCTTAAGGAAATAATGAGTGAATCCCCCTTCCTGCTCACCAAATTCCTCCTCACAATTACTCCATCACCAGATCATCAGGCCACAGGTCAAGAGGGTTTAATTACCCTGTCCCCCAAACCATTCCTGAGGATCCATCCTCCTCTTACTCACTGAGAGTTGAGGATCCTTACCCCAGCCCCATCCTACAGGCATTCAGCAGACCTGGGAACAGGGGCTTCCGTCACTGCTTCACCCCCATCCTCCTTCTACCAGCTTCATCTTAATTATCCTTATCTTTCTGCAGCTCCATGGTTTTGGTTAGCATCCAGACTGGCTGGCCCTTCCTTGGCCTTTTGAGGTGCTCAAGGCAACTGGGGCTTTGCCAGGAAAACACAGATAGCAGAGAACTGTCCAGACATGAACGAGCCAGGCAAGGGGAATGAGAGCTTGGACCAAGACACCAGCGAAAAAGGCTGAAAAACTGCTGTAACAGGGACAGGCAGGCTCCAGGCTGCACATTCTGCCCTAACTTGCAATAAAACCCCAGAGCTGCTACAACGGAACATGGGGCTGGAGGCAAGCAGTGGCAGATGGAGGGCAAGGCTAAGACAATTTCTTCCCCTGAGCCCACAGAGCCCTTAAGGTCCACGGAAACCCACCAAGGGAAGGGCTGGAGGGTGCACCCCTCTCACCATCAGGGCTCTGGGCTGAGCTCTCTCTGCCCCAGGATCAGGGGCTCTCTTCACAAACTCCTGCAGAGGAGGAGCTGCCGGGCAGGAATCTCTATCAAAACACTTCCCCCACCCGTGTCTGGACGCTGCTGAAGGAGGAATCAGCCCCGTCTTTCACCATCCCTGCCCGCTGCCCTCCCGGCAGAGCTGCATCACCCGCAGATGCCCTCGCCCTCCCCCGCACACCCAGCGGGGCTCAGCCCTGCTTGAGTAGCAAATATCCGGTTATTTGCCGGCAAATAACCCCTCCGGGAGCCCCTCAGCGCGTCCCTGCAAACAGGCTCCTTTTCCTGTGTCTGGGGCTTTATCGGAGGGACAAGACGGACCGCAGCCTCCTGCCACTGCAGCCCCGGCGATAAGACCGAGCCGCGTTCTGGGGCAGTTTGCGAAAGGTCACTCCGAGCGAGCACACGCCGCCTCAGCATCTTCTCCTTCCTTTTCTGCAGCCTCCCACCAGCGAGAAGAGCAACCACAACCCCGGCATGTCAGAACCCCACACTTCCAGCTCCCGCTGCCCCGGGGCTGGGCGAGCTCGGCCTCACGAGCCGGAGACGCCTTCGGCGAGGGCCGGGAGCGAGCTCCGCGTCTCGCTGCTCCTCTCCTCGCCCCGTGCCACTAAAACAGGTTCCTGCAAACAACCACCGCCACCAGCGCTGGGATTTCGGAGCCTCGGGCCAAGTGCTCGGCGCTCAGCTGCGCCCCAGGGCCAGCGGTCCCGAGCAGGCGGCCCCCGGGGGAAGTGACCCCCTAAATAATAAGGGGGTGACCCTGGGGAGCTGGGGGTGCTCACCTGCGGGTTTCCTGTTGTACTTCAGCACCTCGCAGAGCACCAGCTTGTTGGGGTCCAGGCAAAAAGGGTCCCTGAACATGCAGACGGGCACCAGGAACATGTCACTGTTGGAGCCCTCTGCCTGTGCCGTGCTGGAGCCATCGAAATTCCACTCGGGGACATCTGCGAGGAAGGAGGGGGACGGATTTAGGAATGAGGCTGGGAAAAGACCCACATACGGATTGTGCCAAGTGGTGGTGGCTCAGATCCAGGATGGAGCACCCAAAGGGTGCTGAGTTCCATGGGATGTCAGCCACAAGGGTTTTCTTGCCCATCCCCGGAGCCCATCGGTGCTCCCTGAGCATCAGAGTGTTCACCCCATCCCAGCACCATCAGGCACGGGCAGGATCAGTCCCAGCCACTCCACCTCCCTCTGCCAAACCCCATCCAGATACCGACACGTCTCCATGCCTGTTTGCCTGGGGGAAAGGGGCGAGGAACTCATCCTCCCCTTCCCACCCATCACTAATAGCAGAGATTAGCGGATTAAGCAAACCGCAGGGACGCAGGTTGGATATTCACCCTGCTGCTTGCTACAACCCCACCAGACAGCTGCAACAGGTACCACTGGTGCCACACAACCAGGGAGAGCCCGTCCCACCTCCCACCGCCTGAAACACCCCAGAACTTTTCCCAGGCGATGCTCAGGGCCCTGGCCCTCCTCCACAGCACCCATCACCCCAGGGACAAGCAGCCGCGTTACCTTCGATGCTCTTGGGCTCCTTATCGAGGGTCCTGCTCTTGCAGCGCACGCCCTCGCCGCTGCCGTCGATCCAGACGTAGGTGACCTGAACCCTGCCATCCTGGGGCAGCCTCATGTACTGCTCCCGCACCAGCTTGTTCAGCCTGGAGCTGTGCGACACCGACATGGCGACGGCCCTGCGGGGGCGCACAGGTGAGTGCCACATCACCCCGGCCCATGTCCCCACGGGTATGTCACAAACCAACCTCCCAGCCCAAAACGAGCCACCCCAACTCCCCCCGGCTGCTGTCCCCAGCGGGACTCGAACCTGCCACCCCCGCGCTCACCGGCCCCGCGCTGCCCGCGCCCGCTCCGCCCGCGCTTTAAAGGCGCCCGCGGTCGGGGGGCGGCGCGGAGGCGGCTCCGCCCCGGGGCGGCAGCGCCGGGCCCCGGCTCCGGAACACCCGTTGAGGACGTTTAGTATTGTTTTCTTTTCTTATTAAAATATTACTTATTAAAAACGACAGCTATCTCACGGGCATCGCTTTAAAGCATCGCTTTATTTATTTAAAGTAGTGAGTTACTGGCCAAATAACTTATTGCTTGTTTAAAGAAACAGGTATTACTCATTGAAAATTTTATTCACCACCTCCGGTCCCTTCTCTGCGTGTGTCATCCCTTTTGGCCCCTTGTTTGTGCAGGGTTGCCCTCGTGCAGGTGTTTCTCTCCCAGGGCTGCTAAGTTGCTGCCGGGGGGAAGCTGGGGAAGTTGCTGGGTTGTGCTCCCCCAGCACCCCAAAACCTGTCTGGGACCATGTGGATATGTGATGGAATGGATCTGGGTGCCTGGGTGGTCCTGGGGACATCAGGGGCAACGAGATCCCTGAGACAGGGGCAGCCAGATTCCCGGGACAGTGACAACCCAATCCGTGGGGACAGGGACAGCCAAATTCCCGAGGACGGGGGCAGCCAGATGCCAGGCAACCCTACCGCTACCTCTCTCCCCCCGTCCTGCCCTGGCACCCCAGGAACGACCCCTTCCCACCCGGCTTCAGCCCCCCGGGGCTGCAGGGCTGGGTTTGCCCCCAGGGCTTTCCTTGGAAAGGAAGGGAGGAAAGGCTGAGAGCTGCAGGGAGAGCTGCTGGGAAAACACCGCAATCTCCTACTTCAGCCCTACCCATCTATAAACCGCTGAGTTAAAGCACAATTTTTAAGCACCATAGCGTAGTAGTTTCTTTAAACCCCCAAACTATCCACGCTTAGCACAGGCTCTGCTGTGATTTACAGTCAGCTAAAAATCCGCAGCCAACAGGTGTGAATTTGAGTCGATTATTTCAATATAGCAGCAATTTCCAGCTATTGAGCCGAACGCAGATCCAATTAGGTGAATTAAACGCATCGCTGCCTTCCCAGTTTTCCATAGATCTTGCGTGAGAGGCTCCCACGTGTCGGAGCAGACAGACTCAAAGGTGCCAGGGCACAACCAGCACGGGCACAGCCCGTGCCGGCGCCTCCGGGGCTTATCTCAAATACTCCCGGACTTTTTTCTCGGAGGAGGGCAGGATTCCAAACAACCCCCCCAAGCAAACCCGGCGGGGTGAGCGCGCCTCGACTCTCCAGCCTCGGGTTTCAAGTAGTTTTCCGATGTTACAAAAAGGAGAAAAGGCTTTAAGGCATGACTGGGCTCTAAAGCAGTTGGGTTTTTGCTAATTCCCCCGATTCTTAAGACAGCCTCATGTTTGTGGCTGCCTGACTCACCCCCAGGAATGTTTTTCTGCAAAACACCAGGGCAGCTAAAAAAAAAAAAACTGCTTCACGGTTGATTGCCCCCCACAGGACATCTCCTCCCCGGGCACTGACCCAAGACATCAGCTCTGTTTTTCTTCTGAAGGTGTTTTGGTCCCGCAGGCAGATAAAGAACCGGGAAGAAACCTGAAAGCACTTGGGATTGCACAAGAACCAGGAAATGAGATTGGCAGCGACAGAAGCAAAACTTAATTAGCAATTTCGGTGACCGGGCGGTGACATCAGTGGCAGCGGGCTGCGGGCGGGCCAGACGTCACCCACCCCACAAGCCGTGGGTGCTGCCCCGAGCACGGCTCCTGGCAAGGAGGTTGGCACACGGGCCAACATGTGCCCAAGGTGCCCGGAGCAGCGGTGGCAGGACCACGCAGGTCACCCGTGTCCTTGACGCTGCCCGGTGACATTCAGGGTCTCCTGCAACTGAAGCTGGGGTGCAGCTCGAAAGCAGCCACCTCCCTCTGCGGGGTATTTTAGGGACACATCCACGAATGTGGCTGCAAAGCTCAGCATTTCCTCATTCTTGTTTGGAAATCGTCCCAGGGCAGGAGGAAATGCTCCCCCGGCTGTGCAGCCCTTTCCCGGAGGCGTTGCAACACCGAGCCGGCTCCGTGCCGGGGAGGCGTCAGCGGCTCCGCCGGGTCCTCGGCTCCCTGTCCCATCTCCATCTCCATCTCCATCTCCATCTTCATCTCCCTCTCCATCTCCCTCTCCATCCCGCCTGGGGAGCTGGAGCCCGCGGGACCAGCCTCAGGGCTGGAGAAGCAGCGGCTGATGCTGAGCAGAAAGCACAGAGGTGGATCTGCATCCCTTGGGAAGGACGGCAAACCGCACCGAGGAGAGGGGAGCTGCATCCTCCAGAGGCAGCAGGACCAGCACCACTGTGTAGGAGGGTTCTGCCGAGACCCTGCAGCTTCCTGACTCAGCTGGGTGGGGAAAAGGCTCATTTTACTCCCAGTGAAAGCTCTGGCTTCCCTCCTGGATGTGCCCGCCTGTGCAGAAACACCCCGGAGCTTGAATGGGCTCAAACCCAGGGAGAAATGGGACAAAATGCAGGCTGAGTTAACCCAGTAACCTAGATTGGGAATATCCTCTGTGAGCAGCTGGAATCACTGAGCACCAAAACACCCAAGAGAGGAAGACAGAACAAACACCAATAATCCCTCACCTGGTCAGAGCCCCCCTGCCCCAGGAGGGCAAACACGGTGGCTCTGTGGTGTTTGGGGACAGCAGGGACAGCAGCAGCCTGTGGGGGCACAGGTGTGGAATCACAGAATTCCTAAGGGTGGAAAAGGGTGAAAAACCATGCCCAAACACCATCCCCGAGGCAGCTCGCCAAATATACACAATTATTTCATACAAAAAAGGATTTTGGTAAGCAGGAAACAGCATTTCTGCCATATAAGGTTGGGCACCTGCTTAGTCAGTTTTGCCTGGGATCAAGCCTTACCTCACCACAGCCTAATTCCAGCCATTTCCATAGCAACAACCCCGTTACACCAACAACAGCCAGCACAATTCACACCTGGGTCCTCGAGGCTCTGGAATAACATTTCCCCCAAACAAGGCCGGGCTCTGCAATCAGCGGGCTCCTGCCTGCTCCCCTCCACGCCAGGTACAGTAAATATTAACCAGCACCAGGCTCCCAGGATCAGGTCGGAGCCCAGGGCAGGAAAGGGAGCAGGGGTGTCCTTGGAGCAGTAAAAGGTCACAGATTAAATCTCCTGAGGACTTTGTGAAGCCATTCAGAGCTGCAGCAGAGGGGCTGCTCCACATGAGGACAGCAGGGAGAGAAGCTGATTCTGCTGTGCTGCTCCAGCCTGGACCAACCATCACCTCTGGTGCCATCTGGGATGTCACCCCCATGCCCACAGGGATGCAGGATGCAGCAGGGCTGCTCCCCTTCCCGGTCTTTTTTTGGATCAATCTGGAGCCCCGTCCTGGGGAGACCTGGCCAAGCCCTAAATACTTCTTCCAGTTTTTATCTCTCTGTCTTTGAGGCTTTATCAGCCTGAGCATTTTCCAGCCTTGCCAAAATACACCAAAGATATTTCTTGCTTTGATAGGATAGTAATAAATAATTAAGAAAATTTTCAGATTGAAAATCTTCAGTAACACAATGTGGTTTACCACAAAGGAGTTAAATTTACTTCCTGGGGTGACTTTTTACACCTTCTCCTGGTGCTGCAGCAGGGCAGGGATCTGGGCCTTGGCTGTCACATCCCTCCCCACACTTGCCCGAGAAGATCCCTGGGCACAGAGCAGGGATTTTGGGATGGAGAGTTCGGGTTTTACTCTAAATCGTGCTCCAGGATTCAGGATGCTGCTCAGAACTGAGGGAATTCCTCCCTGGTTGTTAAACTCCCATAGCACATCCCAGAGCCCCGGAGCCCCCGGGGAGAGCGTTCCCTCTCCCAGGATCGGTGTGACCAACCCGGGCTGGTTTTTGTCCTGCCAAAGAGCTCTGTGGGGAGATTAGAGGGAAGGCAAAGAGCAGGATCGGCAGGAGGAGCCCGGCACAAACACCATAAAGGGATTAGAGGGGCTGGGCTGGGTGGGAATTCTGCTGCACCGCACTGGGAGAGGGGCTTCAGCAGCGGGGGAAGCCAGGGATGCTGGGGAAGGAGGGAGTGCAGCAGGGCTGGGAACGGGCTGGGGTCGGGCAGGAGGTGGCCAAGGGGGGCCAGAGCCACCCTCAGGGGTCCAGCAGAGAGCACCCGCTGCCAGGGGGGCTGTGCTGGCGTCCCCAGCACACACCCACTTTACACTTCCCTGCACAAGTGCTGAACTGACAGTTTTCCTTACAATGAGAACACATTTAGGCAACAGTAAACCTCCTTAGATTTGCACCCAAACCGCTTTGCCTTCATTCAAATAGTGCTGCCATACCTTTTTCTGTGCACACAGATATAAATACATATATATATGACATTTAAATACATATGTATGGCATATAAATACGTGTATATGGCATATAAATACACACATATATGACATACAAGTACACACATATATATGACATTTAAATACACACACATATGACATACAAGTACACACATATATATGACATAAATACATATATATGACATATAAATACATATATATGGCATACAAATACATATATGCAGCATACAAATACACATATATGACATATAAGTACACATATATATGACATTTAAATACATATAGATGGCATATAAGTACATATATATGCCATAAATATATATGCTATATAAACACACACATATATATGACATTTAAATACATATATATGGCATATGAATACATATGACATATAAATACACATATGTATGCACATACACATCATTGTTTATGTCATACTTGAATGTGCCAGGGAAAGCCACAGTCCCAACCCAAGCAGCAGCCAGCAGCAGCCC